AAAAAAAATAAAAAACAAAAAAACACCTTTGGGCTATAAGCATGAAAAGCATCAGTCCAAATGGAAACATTCAGCGAGCCAGAGTGGGAAACAGAGAGGGTAGGCAGAGTTAAGAAATAGCCATTAATTTTTGTCTGCCTCCTCTTTGCAGCCACATCTCTCCTAATCATCACTCAATTTATTAGCGCTCTATAATTGTATGTCAACGTAACCATAAATTCTATATATGGGCAACAGCAGACGGAAACTCCCTTGTCTCACACTGACTGACTCAGCAATAGAGGACATCACAGAAGTTTGTTGTTGTTAGATAAACGCACAGACAGAACGACGTCCAAAAAGACAGACTGAGTACAGTTGGAGTCCACCTAAAGCTAAGTCACAAAAAGGCAAGCTTTCTTCAGATTTCTGCCATTACACCCTTGCCAAAAAAATCCCTTCTGATCTCTAATCAACCAATCACCTCAACCATACGCAGGGTAGCAAGTGACCCTATACTGTCATGCAGAAAACAGCATGGCATTGTACAGCACAGCACTGTTCTATGTCCCAACATAGAAGCACGGCTCCAGAAATAGCATATACCTGTAGGTGATATTTAAAAAGAAAACCCACACATATGCTTTCAAGATTTAGTACAACATACACATTGTGTGGACTGTAGTCTGGAACCGCATATTATATAATACAGTGCCAGACAGGCTTCTCAGCACTTAGATTCAAAAACAAGTGCTAGACATAGCACATCCTTGATGCCAGTGCCTTTTTTGGCAAGCCCAAGAAAGGGGTGTGGAACCCAGTGTTGCAGAAAATGGTTATTAACATCTGTCCATTGACAGCAGGGGGCTGGAAACGCATAGTCTTTCGGTATGGCTTTGTCCAGTCTTATGTAAGAGCTAAAGGTAACTGCAGCCCTCTTCACTTATTCGTCAACTCTGGAAGCCTTCATATTATACTTGAGAATCTGACTAATCACATGCTGCTGTAGTTACCACTAGCATAAAATAGCACCACCACATCAATAATATGTCCTTCCAGATAACTGGGTAAGCTCTCGGTTGCCTTCTAGGCAGGAAGAAGTTCCACACCCAGAAAAATTCCCTTAAGAATTCGTCAGAGATCTTTGAGAGATACTGATTTGGCACAAGACATAGTAAGGAGGGCATAATTATCTCAAACATCCAATGGATTCACAGCACACAAACCAAAATGGGCAAGCTGAGGTAACCTCAAAGGTTCCCAGCATTGTTTTCTACAAACTGTCACCCACATCCCTGAATCCTTCTCTATCCTATGCTTTTTTTAATGGACGGCTCAACACAAGGAGCCAGGAAAACTCTGTATGTGTGTGTGTGTGTCCCCATGGCACTGGCACAAGGAAATCCAGCTACACTTAAGACTTCACATATCTTGCCTCACATAGTCTCGTCATAATCCACACAGACAAAAAGATATGGAAAAGAAATAGGTGCAGGGATGCTGTGCACTAGAAAACTGACTTCACAAAACACTCAGTTAGGATTAGCTTTTTAGGGCAACAGTTCCCATTCAGAAATTCTACTGAACCCCACTTCAGGTCTTGCAGGGATTTTAGCATGGCTAGAATTAGTGGCCCGGGCCTTAGTTTCTAGTCACAAGAGAGATCCATCAGCAACTGCTGGAGGCTGGACAAAAGTAAGAGTGCAAATCACAAGTTTTCTTGGGATTATCCACAACTCGCATGAACAAAACTAATTCTTTTTCCAACTAATATTACATGCATAATTTTTAAGCTCATAAACCAAAAGAAAGGAAACTTTCAAAGGCCGTTAGTCACCAAACTCCATCTGCCACTGGCCTCTGCGCTGGAAAATCTCCGCATAATATCAAAGACAAATTTCCCCTGCCTTTGATTATAAGTTCTGCTGAACTTTACCACCACAACACATACTGGTAGAAGTACTATTGCCTTCACATTAAAAAGCAGGGGAGAATTTCTTTGGATAAGCTCAGTTCCAAATTACTTTTAAATGCTTCAAGACTTTGAAGAAACCCTGCTTTCACGTGTACTTCTAATAACTAAAGAGTAATAAAAGAAACAGATGTCATTATGCTTTATTGTGAAGAAAGGAGAATAAAACAACCCAATAAACCAATTCATTGAGGAAAAGAACTCTAATAACCAGATGGACAGAATATTAGGAGGACCAGATTACACCTCCTCTTTCATTCTCTAGATGTATCTAACAAACTGAGCAAACTTGGGACAGAGAGCTCACCTAGCACACTGCAGGTTTCGGAAGCAGCAGTGCAAGGTTTTGCGAGTGCTTGTAGTAAAGCCTTCTAGCTTTGCAGATGTAAACTCTCCTTTCGCACAAGCAAAAAGCAGAGTTCTGCCTCTACCTCTTTTACAGAAAATAGTTGTAATACCTTCTTAACATGTGTGTATAAAACCCTGATGCAGATCAGTGGAGACTTCCAAGGAGGAGGGTTCTTCGCTAAACAGATTTGAGACACCTGTGGCAACATTTCAGTTCCCCAGGTGTCGTCTTTCTCACTCACATCCACCTGGGCAGCACACAGACAGACTGTGGGGTTTTTCTCCTTCCTGAAAAGCGCTCTGTCAATGTAATAGGGCAAGGACAGCTTGAGCAAACCTGTACTTTAACATACTAGGTCTGTAGTGCCATGCCAATAACCAAGAAGCAAACCCTGGTAATGACAAGATGAAGTCAAGGACTGTGCTGCTTGCAATCAGTGCTGATGCAAGCCTTGCAATTCTTCACTGTTTGAAAACTAGGCAGGTACTTGGGCCCTGCTTTACACACATCCTGCCTTGGATTTACTATGGCAGCTGGCTTTGGGGAAGCCAAGTACAAGGTGAAAGACACTTCCAAACCACTGGTGGTGCAGCTAGCTTGTTCACTCATCACCCAGAAATTCCCAGTCAGATTTTTTATACTGAAAACGTAGCACAGAAAAGAGGCAAGAATAATTAAAAAAACCCCTAAGAATTCCCACCTTTGCTGTAATGTGAGGGGGAGTCCTGCTAAATTAACGTTTAACAAGGTAGGAAAGCAGAAGCAGCACTAAGTTCTCATTCTAATACATCTCTAGCAGTCACATTATCCACTGATTAGGTGGCATGTTTATCTTTAAAGAAACTATAAAACAAATCACAGACAAAAATGACATTTTATGAAAAAAAAAGAAAGTGAGAACAAGTTCCCATTTGTGGTATTCTGTCACATTTCAACTCATTATTGATAGACTAATAATTTACCAGAATTTTTTGCTTTTGCAATATAGAAAGTACCAGGCTTAAGGTGACTCTCTTAAGTCATCAAGCAGCCCTAGACCCCAGTAGGCAGCGGTTCAGTGCCCTGTGAAAGGAAGCAGAAACACTACAAGCTAAGGAAAGCCACTCCCAAAAGTTGAGAGCTGAGAGTGTTTATTGTTCATTTTCCAAACACATCAAGCACCTTAAGGCTAGGATTTTCAAAGGGGCCTAAGAGAATTAGGTACTTCTAAACCTATTGCATTTTAGTGGAATTTAAATACTTCTAAGTCTGCCCTGAAAGAGATTTAATGTGAGATTTTTCCTTTTAATTTACCATTCTCAGGCTTGCTGCCTCATTTTCAGTGGGCACTGCAGACATAACCCCTCGGTCGAAGCCTTCAGGGCACCAGGAATACAGCACTGTGGTGGCTGTTGCAGGACTAGAATGTCTCTTAGAAATTTTTCAATTCTGATTTTCAGTCATTCATATTGTAAATTAGTGTCATCTTTCTTGTATTGGGAGGAAAAAAAAGCAAGCATAGGAAGAATTCATCGTTCAGAAATACAAGCAGATAAAATTCCTGATTAACATAAGGTAAAAATCCCAACATCTATTAGCCTAACAAGAACTCCATTTGCAGTTTAGAAAAAAACAAACAAACAAAAGTGTGAGAAATTACACATCTGTTCCCACCAACAGCAGTAAAAGCTAGGAACAGGCTTGCACCCAGATAGATACATTTTGGGTGCCAATATTATATTAATTACATTAAAAATGGAAAAGTAGAAACCCTTCTGCCTTCTTCATTTAGCTCGTAACCACTTTTTTCCTATTTTTTCTAGAAAATGAGTGTTTTTCCATTTAAAATGTGAGAGCCACTCTGTAGTTACAAGTGGTACTTTTTGACTTTCTTAATACAACCCTGTGGCTACAATTAACACAACTGATAAATAGCAGATCAAATTAAGGTCTGATCCTGTTTTACTTATAGGTGCAATCCTTGCAATAAATTGCAGGTTAAGCTGTCAGAGGTAAATGAGGTGAGATGGAAAGCATGATCTATGATGCCTGAATTTTAAGTGTTCAGACATTAAAAGCAAATGTGTGAGAGAAGATAAGCAAATATCAAGACAGAAAATTTCTAAATTTTAAGATGCTTTACTGATTGCTATAAGATTCCAAATATAACTGAGATGCATGTTTTGCACAAAGCTTTAAGAGGAGATAGCAAATTTTGTGTTCGTATTTATGAGCTATTTAATGCTTATTTTTATCCTTCACATGGGAATAACATTTTCAAAAGAGAAAAAGAACACAATTTTTCTTCTCATTATTTCACAGCGCTTTAAGTTCATTTCATGACTTCATTGTCTTTGAAGTCTGGGGAATAAGGGAATGCAGACTGTTTCCATGCATGGTGTCATTGTCGTGGAAATCCACTGTTTCATCCCCTTAAAAACAAACAACTGAACCAATCTGAAGTCCTTCACAACCTGAAATTCTTACAGGCATTGTAAGACTGCATACTGTCTCATCTATTTTGTTGTCAATTCAATCACAAACTCCTTGAAATACAAAAACGTAAATAGTACAAGAAGTGTGTATGATTTTTAAGCATGATCAGTCTAAGGATTTTTAGGGAGGGATTAAATCAAGGAAGGTAGCTTTCTGAATCGCCCGAGGCATATAACAACTAATATGAAACCCAAGATTGTATCTGGAACAATACTGTGCACTTACAGCCAAGAACTGAACCAACCATCCACTTCCCGTGACATGAGTGGGAGCAGGACGCACTCAGAGCTTCAAAGAAGCAAACTGGTATCTGAAAAAAAAAAAAAAAAAAGAGTAACCAGATAATTTAAAATAATTCACTGACCTTTATACCATGCCGTGTTGACCAAACAATGGATTTTTATAACTCCATTCTTGTTCTCATCACACAAATTATCAAAAGACAGTGTTAGTGAGCACTTCTACAGTCTTCACCACAGCCTCAGCACTTTCCGACCACCCTGTTTGGTAGGGTTGCATACCAAAGCTGCTCAGTTACAGCTGACCTCTCCTTTTGTTTGTTTGCTTGCTTGTTTGTTTTTTTCCGTTAAACTTCAGAGAACACCGTGAAGAAAACGTAAGAATATGTTCAAACCTATGCCTTCTACTTCCTCTACTGCAAGAGCAACAGAAAGAACAGCACAAATTGCCGGCCCTCACGTTCTCAGGTAACTGACCCCTCCTCGCCCAGGCCGTGCTTGCCCCATCCGATCAGTAGTTTGTGCCAGCTGGGGGCACTTAACCCATTTGGCCCTTCGCATCAGCTCCAGGTCCAACAAGAATCGCTGGTGCGCTGGAGCCTTAAGGGCAGGACCCACGGCTGGAAGTGGGGCATTTAAGACAAGTTCCTGAGCGGCAAAGGCTGAAAGGTAGGAAAAAAAACCCCGAGACTGGGTCAAAATTTAAAGCTGTAAATTGAGGCATCAGTTTCTCTCTGACGGTTCGTACCTTGCGACTACCGATTTACAGCAGGAAGAAAAGCTAAGCTTTCCCCTACCCACTCTGAGGTCTTCTTCCCGAAGGCGCTTCTGCTTCCCGCGGTTCATAACGCTCCGCCCGCTCTCCCCGCGGCCCTCTCCGGGGACCCCCCCCAGCCCCCGCGGAGCAAACGCCGCAACCGCCCCCCTGCCTCCCCTCACAGCAACGCGAGCCCCGCGGCCGGCCCGCTCCAGGAGGACCGGAGGGGACCGGGGTGCTCGGCCCCCGGCCGGGACGCCCGGCGGGGGCTGGAGGCTGCCCGGCCCGGCGGCCGCGGCCCTCAGCCCGGCGCGGGGAGGCCGTGAGGGGCTGGCGGCAGCGCGCGAAGCGGCGGCCGAGAGCCGGGGAGGAACCACCGGCGGCCGCCGCTTCAGCAGCTGGGGTGCCGAGCGGTTAAATTAACCCTGATTTTGTAGTTTTAGAGGTCCGCCTTAAATAACCGATAAATTGCAAATGCGGCAAATTATCATTAAAGTGTGTCACGTGATGAAAGAGCCGTTAATCTTTCCTAAACTGTTACATGTGCGTACACGTGTGCATGGGAGTAGTGGCGCAGTGCCGTTCTTAGTGCGGATTTCTGCACCTCGGTGAAATCGCATAATGGAAATTTTCACACTTACTCATTTTCCTTGAAATAAGCCCTTTCCCCCCCACCCCCCTTAAAATAACCTGACGCTGATAGGCTATCTAGTGCTTCCCTCCTGTAGTTGGAGTCATGTAAAATCAAAGCAGTGTTTAGAGGGGCTTTGCAGATTCTGTCCGTAGAAGATGCTGTATAGACAGGATCATGTACACCGACTATTCCCCACTTTTAACCCATATTAAAGTTGTCAAAACTAGAAGAGCTTCATAGTCCTTACAGTTTCACTCCTCGAAATAGGTGGTTTGTACCTAAACGTATTTCCAAGAGCCCTTCTTGCTGCACAATCTTTCAACATGCAACAAAATACTTGCATTTCTTTTGTGGTGGGTGGGTTTCGAGGGATTTCTTTTTCCCTCTCCAGCACTTACCCTTTGGTTTTCCAGCAGCTGCAGCTACTCCAGTGGCATTAACTAAGTCTTGCATCAAGTGTGGATTTCCTGATGTTTGAATAAAAGATATTTCATTATGATTGAGTAATTTGATCATTAAAATCAATGATCTCCAGATTACCTGAATTGTCTGTTAAGTTTTAACCGGATCCTGCAAAAAGAATGGGAGAAGTTTAGCATCCTAAATATTTGAGATCATACGATGGGGTTGGCAATTCAGTTGTACCTAGACTGACTGTTTTGATTCTCTGATTTTCTTCCATTAAGAGGAGATAATAAAGCTGTTGCAAAACTCCTTATCAAGGCCCTTCATTGAAAGATCAAGCTGCAAATTTAATTGCTAATCTGCCCCCAGTCACTTCATCAACCAAAATGCTACACCTTGTTCCTGACGAGGAAAAGGCTGTACCCATTAGCAGCCTGACACAATCACTGTAGATGCTGAGGAATATGAGAACGAGCTGCAGATGTTGTCCAGGCTCAGATGCTCTCGTTAGCCACTATCTCTTATTGCCACTGGTGGACATAAAACTGAGGGGCTAGTTGGACTTGTAATCTAACCCAGTTGGAGAGTTACTGTGCTTTCAGTTTTGTAGGTTATTTGTGACTAATTAGTTGTGAACATACAGCAGCTATAGAGGTATTTTTAGTCATCATGGAGTCTTGGTGGCAGAGATCCCTTTCCACTTGCTGGTTGTAGTGTCCTGACGGCTAGGGTCCCTGCTGCATGGCTGGAGATCATAGCACAATATTTATACTTCCTGATTTCCAAATATAACCCTCTGAGGCCTGATTTAAAAAGGACCTTAGTCATGTGTCTGAAGTGTGAGGTACCTCATTCATAAAATTAAAGCTGGATGTTGTGGAAGTAATGCAAGATTCGGGGGGTTTTTGTACTTCACGTTTATAGGTTTTGAGCTTATATCCCATTTTTAAAACCTAATTTAAAATGATTACTTGGTTTCTTCACATGTCCTGCTAGCAGTTAATTAACCAGAAGAATGGCAAAATATATCCAAATAATCGATATGCATTCCTTTTGTAATTATTTAAAGCTCCTATTTATTATTATTATATAATTATTTAAAGAAAAATTACCTTTTTTGTTACCAAGTGATCCTTTAGCTGATGAGCTACAACAGCAACCAGACCTCTAAGTAGGTTTTAATACAAGCAAAGAAGCTTTTAAAGTCTGTGGTGTCAAAGTAAATTAAAGTGTCCCTAAGTAGCTCTTAATACAACTGACCACAGTGATTTCTACAGGGCAATTATGTTTTACTGTGTCAATCATCCAATAGGCATTAATATGAAGCAGAACAGCTCCGAAGAAATTTGTTATGGACTGTCTTGTCAAGAACCCAAATGCTAACCTGCAACGGCCTTGATATTATTAGAACTACTAAGGGTCAGATTCCAATTAATCGGCAGATCTAACAGTCCTCCACTGTAGTGGGTCTTGATACAATTAAGCAATAATAGATGACAGGAAGGATACTTCCTGGCGGTTAATGACCAATGGCAGTATTTGAAGACCCTTAACCTAGCTGGTCATTAACTGCTCAGAGACACAACCTGGAGCTCATATTTTCTATTGTAAACCATATATTAAAGACATAAATCAACTACTATTTTTCTCCCCTCCCATTCTGTGCGACCTGCTGCTGTTGGGCTCCTGTGGTAGCAGTTAATTGCCACAGGAAAATCCTGGTGCAAGTAACCAGTGGGGAGACAGACCATTGCCCCTAACCTTATAATCCTGAAAACCCCGAACTGCAGGGAGTCCTAAGGGCTCCCGAGGAACCTGCAGCCGGTGAGCACAGTTTGTGCGCAGAGGCTGAATTTCAGTGCTTGGCCAGAGGGAGAAATGCACCTGAGGGAAGGAAGACAGACCCGAGCAGCAGGAGCACCTACCTCAGTTCTCATCTCGCCCGCCTGCCCTGGGCACGCTGCTCCTCGGCTCCAGGAACAGCGTGCGGGCCGCTCTGCAGCCTCCGACACGCGGCCTTCTCCAGGAGACGGTTGTATGCGAGAGGCAGCACCCTGTCCTGCGTGGTAATTTGTGCGTGGTTTTTCAAACATTGTGTCTCTCACTGCTGCAGGAGGCAGTGACTTTCTGTATGCCATTCTGTATGCCATTCTGTCCTGGTTGGGGCTGGCCTAGAGCTCCCGTGGGTCTGGCAGCGGGAGGAGCTGCAGCCCCCTGAGACCCCAGGGGCTCCCCAGGGCCCAGTGCCCTCACCTGTGTGCGGGGGCGGGGGGAGCACAGCTGGAGGGCTGGGCCCCGATTGGCTGATAGTCCATGTCACGTGACATTGTGCTCACTGGAGTGTGGCTGTGGGGCCTTTGTGTTCGGGATTGCTGGCTGGGAGCAGGTGGGTGTTGGTCGGTCGGCGGGTGGTGAGCAGCCGTATGGTATGTTACCTACTGATATTGCTGTCAGTGTATTATTCTGTTACTGTTATTACACTGTTTTTATCTCAACCCGTGAGTCTCCCTTTGCCCCTCCGATTCCCTCCCCATTCCCAAGTGGGGGGAGGGTGGGTGAGCGGCTGTGTGGCATTTAGCTGCTGAGTAGGCTCAAACCACAACAGTACTTTTTGGGGCCCAATGTGGGGCACGAAGGGTTGAGATAATAACAGATTTGATCTGTGGGTACTATCAAGTTTGTTATAATGCCAACTGCCCATCCTGTTATAATGTCATTTGCTTGGCTCCTAAAATTGTGGATTTTGTTGCTGCAGTTGTGTTATACATCACATTACTTACCATATGTAGTCCCCATGTTGTTGCTTATTACCCGTGGGAATTGGATTAAGATTTTTGCCTTGCTGTATTATGTAACTCTAATTTATGGCATGATACAATCTTCGGTCCTGGGAGTTATGGGGCACCTACTGGAGTGGGTTAGTAACTACACCCTCCACCTTTTCTCCTCGGAAAGCCCACCCAAGGGGGAGATACCTTTTTCCATCTTCCCCTTCTCCAAGCTACTTGCAAGTATACTTGAGAACGCTGAGAACTCTGAATATCCATGGAATGCTCATGTTAATGTTGCTGTCTTGTTCCTGGAAGCTGTAGTGTTCTGAATGTGGTTCAGGTTCTGTTTCGGGTTAAGCAACTGTTTCTGAATACCACCCAGAGGTCTACCCCAGGGTTGCAGAGTTATGAGTGGCTGGGGGTGTGGGGTAGCATGGGCAAGTACCTAGGACAGTGGGGACCTCCAGTGTTTTGGAATTTCACCCCTGAACAAGTGCGGGATCCTGAGAAATTAGTAAAATATTTAGAAAAGGTGTACTGTCATCCTGACACCTCAAGAGAGACGCAGATCATTGCAACATGCTGGGGCCTGGCCCATGCCTACCGAACCCTGCTTGCCACCATGCAGTATCCTCAAAAGGAAGATGTCTCGGCATCTGTGAGCAAAACAACCGGCACTGCAACCACTCCGACACCCCCACCAGGCACTGCAGCCACTCCAACTCAAGCGACAGACACTGCAGCCAATCCGACCCCTACGATAAGTACTGCGGGTGAACTGGAGCATCAATCCACAACAGTATCAGTTGCTCCCATACAGAAGAAGAAACACACTAAAAAATCCCCTCGCATTATAAAAGATGATGATGAACCAGGGCCCTCACAGGAACAGGAGGAGGAGGCAGAGCCAGTGGTAATCACCCGATCTCTATCCCTGAGTGAACTATGAGACATGAGAAAGGATTTCAGCCGCCATCCAGGTGAACACCTCCTTACCTGGCTGCTCCGATGCTGGGATAGCGGGGCCAACAGTGTGGAATTAGAAGGTAGAGAAGCCAGGCAACTGGGATCCCTGTCCAGGGATGCAGGCGTTGACAAGATTATTGGAAGAAAGACACAAACGCTCAGCCTTTGGAGATGACTACTGTCAGGCGTGAGGGACAGATATCCCTTCAAGGAAGATCTTACATGTCATCTAAGTAAGTGGACTGCCATGGAGAGAGGCATCCAATACCTGAGCGAACTGGCTGTGCGGGAGATGGTTTATTATGATCCAGATGATGCACGGCTACCCACAGACCCAGA